ACACGGGAGGCTCGTACGTACAATCACTTCCAGGCCCAAGTATACCCAGCAAGTGGTGAGACTTACCTTACCCCGAGTCCTTAACTGGACAACCACTGGGGCTCAGGCGGGGCTCAGGGGCCGCCACCTCACTGAGGACAGGGCCCAGGCAGAGAGCCCTAGGAGCAAACTGGGCCAGGTTTGCGGGAAGATAACCTGGCTGCCCCCCCTGGTTCTAGCTTTTTACCCTCCTACTTTTCCATAGAATCACAATAGCTTGCTTTTCGCTACACAGTAACAGAAAATCCAACACAGTTGGCTTAAACAACCTAAGTTTATTATCTACCTTCTCCCGCAGTCTCTGGCGGGCTCACCCTAGACCAGTTCATCTCCTGGCTGTGAAACAGCTGCCACGAGATCGATTCTGGAGTATTTCCATCACTAGAGAGAGACCCGGGCCCTTTAGGGGTCACTCCACCCAGCGCCAGGCACTGCTGTGGGTGGGTGGGGGTGGGGAGAAGGGGAGGGCTGGTGAGGATCAGGAGACAGAAGGACCTCATACTTGTGGGGACCACGGACAAGCTGGGAAGACAAAGGAATAAATAAATCACCGCGCCGGCTGGGCGTGGCTCACCGACCTAGGACCCAGGAGGTCGCGGTTCGATGCCCGGTCAGGGGTCAGGGCACAGGCCCGGGTTGTGGGCTCGATCCCCAGTGGGGGGCGTGCAGGAGGCAGCCGATCAGTGACTCTCATCATGGACGTTTCCATCTCTCCTTCTGCCTTCCTCTCTCTGAAATCAATAAAGACACATTTGAACAACAAACTAAAGCCGTGACCGACACTGTAGAGAGAGTAAAGCAGGGCAGTGGGACGGGGTGGGCCGACTGTGGATGGGCCGACGGAGCCCACCCCGTGGCGCTGAGCGCGGCAGGAGCGCGGGATGCGGGCCACGTGGCGGGCCAGGCTCCGGGCGTGGTGCTCCCAGGACCCCGCTGCTCCCAGGGGTCGGCTCCGCCGTCCAGAGCCCCCTGGGGATGCCCAGGCGCACCCCTGGTTGTGACGACTCAGGAGCTGGGGTGGCAGAGGCATCGGGTGGAGAGCGGGGGGCA